GAAAATTTCATTTTGGTCTTGTTCCTGTTCTACATCGAGATTCGACGAGAGCATTTGATGCGCGTATACCGAGGACCCTTCTTTAAGGAACGAAGAAGGGGCTGTCGAGACGGGATAGAATTAAAGGTTAATCCCTCGGGATATATCTTCGGTGAGTGAGCGAGCGAGTGAGAGTGAAAGAGAAAGAGAGAAAGGTGGAACGGATTTTCTTTTTCCTCCCGTGTTCGTCTTCTTTTTCGCGGAGAGAAGGGTTTTGTTTTTCGCTCCAGCCTGGAAGATACCATAAATATTTGCGTTCTTAAGTGCTTCTGGAATATAAGAACAGGCTATGTGAAGAAGACTCTTTCTCTCACAGACTGATGAATGCTCTTTTGGGTGAAAGACAGTTTTGTCGTCTTAATCAGCTTCTCTAGAAAACGGTACTGACACCATTGCCGATGAGTTTTCTAAAGTGAGTTTATATATAAAATTAATTTTTATATTTCGCTATTGACGCCAATTTCTTTACATAAGAAAGGTTCCGCGAGTCAAACATTTACATTTAATTTTCTTATAAATATTTTCTTTCGATTTAAATAGTTCGAGAGATCGGCAAAGTACGAGCAACAGTAGTAAACGTTAGTAAATGGTAAAACAAGTAGGACAAACCACGAGAATGCGAAAACATCGAATAGGGATAGGCGTCCGCCCTTTGGACAAACCCTGGTATCGCCGTAGCGATCCCGCAGACAATCCGTAAGGGCTTAGCACTGTTTCAACAAGGGATTACCGACGCGTCCCTAAGCCGAGCGATACGCGATCCCGTTGCGAACCTGCGTGCGACGCGGGGACAAACATTTAAATTGCCAAGATTACGCCAAGTGGCTGCCATATCATGTTACAACACCATTCGTGGACTAGTAATTGTTCGACAATATTTGTAACCAATGTTTCTCGTCCATCATTTCCAAACTCAACAATTTCGAAACTTATTAAGACTGTCACATACACAATTTCACTTTAGGTGTAATTTATATTTAATTGTTTAATATTTAAAACATTGTTTTATGATTTTACATATAATGTGTTTTTATATAAATCTTTATTGAACGAAGAGTATAGGACACTTTTAGCGACGAAAAGATATCCTTTTTTCCTTTTATATAAAAGGGAAAAAATCGCGCAAATGGCCAGCGCAAAGGTATACAAGGTACAGGAAAAAAGAACACACGTTCCACGTATCGATTCAGTCAAGGTTTCAGCTTTATCGCCCGTCACGACGAACATGCCTCAAAATAGGATAAAAAAAAAAAAAAGGAAGAGAAACGCGCAGGAAAGAAGAACGGAAGCGCAACTAGGATCCCTTGTATCACCTCGCTTCGTGTGTGCGAAATATTTTCTTTTTACGCGAGACGAGAGAACTTTTCTTTGCTCTCTCTCTCTATCCTGGCACGAGCCAGATCGCCGAGTAAAACGGCCACCCCTCGTTTCGCCAGCGCGTTTCCTCTCGTGTCCGCAGGGATTCATAAGAAAAGTTACGTACTTTAGGGTGGAGGCACCCTTCTTTCGAAAAAGCGCCGACTCGTTTTAGCTTTCGATCCGCTCGTTCGAGTAAACGCCCGGCTTTTTTGGGATCAGCCGTTTTTTCTCTCATCTCGTGTGTCTCCAGGAGAGAGATTGCACTTTTTTTGTTGTTCATTTAATAGTACTTTTGTTTGAAAATTAACTTTTTGTCCGAACTCACTCAAGTGTCATTAAGTTTTCTTTTAATATTGTATAAATTTTTTACACGCGTAAAATTAAAAACTGTTTGCTTATTTAAAAAAAAATGTTTAAACACAAGATGTATATTTAGATATATTGCACTTTCGCCGTATGTTTTCTTCCGTCAATCTTATTAATAATTCTTTGACGTTTGCTCTCCACAAGGGAAAATAACTTATTTCCTCGTTCTCCGATATATGTGTAAATGTCGTCCCGAGACACCTGAGCAACAATTTTATGCGACGAGGTAAAATTATATTTCTCGAGTTTCGGAATCCTCTCGCATCTCGAGCAGACACCGCACAAGTGAGAGCTTACGGCCGTAAAAGTTTATTGCCTTTCCTTTCCGTACCTCGCTCCTTTCCCGGTCTCCGAAGGGATGAGACTTTGTCGCTCACCCCCACCCGAAGGAAGATGAGTCCTGACACGCGGCCATTTGCACGTGCTCGTGATATTTCTAGATGGCACCTGCACCTGTGTGCCTACGCAACGTTCTATCTCTTTATTTCACCCTCTTATACACGGAGAATACATCTACTTTAATCGCTTTATGGCGAGACACCGCGCTACTTTCACGCGCATTTAAATATGTACGAATGTGCTCGATCGATATAACTCCCTGGTTATAATCCGTCAGATATTGTCAAAATACATCGATTAGACTCGCGTACACACAAATTAGAGACATATCTCGACAATCATCTGTTTTATTCCATTTATTTACATTTTTTTTCTTCACGAGAAATGTTCTTTTTTCAACCGACGCGCAGTATAAAATATTTATCTCTGTAAAGGACTTTTTGTCGAAAGATTAAAGCAGAATTGTTACATCTTGCAATTTTGAAAACAGAGAAGACCTTGGATGAGACGCAAAATTAGTTTCTGCAAAATCGCGAGCGATTCATTCCGCAGTGTCGCTTCATAATCGCGTCGCAGTCGAGCCTCGATGTTGCGAACGACAGGAAAGGTCGAGTGTGTCGGGGGATTAATTCCGGGCGTTTGTAATTCGAATTGAATTTACCGCCGCGGAAACTACGTGGCAACGAACGAACGGACAGACGGACGGACGGACGAACGAACGAGTGAACGAACGAACGAACAGGGTCGGCAGGCCTGGGCTTTTGCGGATGAATAATGGAGGCTCCAATGAGATTTTCCAGTTCGCCGCGGGGCACCGTAATATTAGCTTACCGTCGTCGTCGCGACTCTAACGCGCGACGCGTCTGAAACGAGAAGCGCACAACTCGACCCCGGGGTTTATGTTCGACCACCCTCATGCAGCTATGCTTTTGTTTATTTTTTTTTTTTTCACTCAACTATCAACGGAGAACAAACGCAGAAAAAATAACACGATGTTTAAAGGGAATGCGCTCGGACAGAGACGAAGATTTACGCGCTCGAATAACTTTTTGTTTTTAATGACATTGTGTTTGATGTATCGTCAACGCTCTTTGACTTAAGTTGCACTAAGAACTGTGTATTTGCGCAGCAAGTATAGGAGTTAAAGTAGAAAGGAGCTTGATGCTGTCTTCAGAAAGATGAATTATTTCGCCGACAAGTTCCATGTATCTCAATTGACCACCGCTTAGTTTTGCAAGACGGAGCGTAACTGGATAATACAACCGGGCATTGCCATCGATCAGATGAATGGAGAGATAGCGCGAAAGGGAAAGTAAGATCGAAGGAGCTGGCGGCAACTTGCGCGACAGTGCCGGCGAGAAAATTGCTTTCGGTCTGGCTTTTCGCGACACTACCACTTCGGAAAGGGAAAGGGAGTTGTCGGCGAAAGGCTCGTCACCATTCGGGCGAGAACTCGACCCTTAAAGAAACGAGAAACGAAAATGTATTTCCGGATGTATACCGGCAAATCGAAAAACCTGAACCGGCGATTGTGCGAACGCGCTTTCGTCGCGTCCCGCTCGACGCTGAATGGACCACCGTTCGGCTAAATTAGAAAAATTACATGGGAGAGAAAAAGGCGGAACGCGCGAAGGGAGATTATTTCCAGAGAGCTAAAAAATACGAGATACCATCTGTTGGAAGAGATTTTTTCTTTCTCGCGAGACAAAATTATTTTCTCTTGATAACTGCAATAGATAAATTATAATTTTAATTTTATATAAAATTATAATTTTATATATATTTCAGAAATACAAAACTATACACATCTAGAATTCTAACAAAGAGCTCCGTGTTATTTTCATACTCAGGCCGATAAAGACGTCGCGGTTCGTCGATCTTATGTACAACATAACTTCGTGTCGCCCTTCTTGTCCTCATTCCTCCGACAATATTTGCATTGTTCCGGTATAGTTCAGGCGACCCTCGTGTCCATCCCTTTTCACCGGTACGTTATGAGAGAGAGACGAGGGAGAGACGCGGGGAGAAGTAGCATCAGGGTCCTCGTAAATCCATTTATTTATTTATTTATGTGCCACGGGGGGAGGCTCAGAGATCGACGAGGGGGTGCGAGGCGCGGCTTATAGCCGACGCATGCATCGAACCAGGAATCCCACGGGAGCGCCCCGTACAGGATGAGGGGATGGCAAAAGTCACGGAGAACGCGCGTGGATATTCGACTACGTCTTCAGGAGTGTGATCCTGGCTCTCTGCTCGTCGTATATATTAGATATTTACTTATTTACGCGTTCGATACACAAAAAAGAAACGATATTCCCGATACAAAAACTGATTTCTGTTCACTGTCAGAATTTTGCGAAATATTTTCACGTTTCGGATTTAAAGTCACATTTTATAAAGTCTGTTCGATATATAAATATTGACAAAAAATCAATAATTGATATAAATATTTTTATTTCATTTTTATTTTATTAATATATCAAGCTTGGTTGTCGCAGATATTACGATCGATAGGACGATAAGAGAACACTCTGTGTGACGGATGTAAATTCTCTCGAGGCATCGCGGCTTGAAACGAAAATGGTGTTGTGCCACTTAGACGCGGAGAGAGGAATCTCTCTCGATCCCCATGACCGTGACACACCGCGGCGTTTTTTTTTTCTCGCGATAGCACGAGACAGACCCTCGTTTTTAAAGCGACGGCCGTATTTAGAATTACGCCGTCTGACTCGGCTTTCCGACAGAGTCGATATCTTCTCGATGACGTTTAAAAAAGTCGATTCTAATGTATTAACGATTTAAAATGCGAGTTTTGTAACCTTAAGAATTTGAGACTTTGTGCATAAACTTATTTTTATATTTTAAATTAAGTTGCTGTGAAAACTGCAATGACTTACCCAGTTCGTCAATTTCTGTCTACGTTCGTAGAGACGTTGTTGGAGCTTCGGTCCAGGACCCGAGAGAAAAGCCTTCACCAGGCTCCGTGTTCTTTCCAGGTGATTCGGAGCGACAGCTTCGACTTGCGCCAGGTACTTCTGCAGAGTCGTCTCGAGGTCCGGAACCGGAAGATTCGGTAGAGCATCCTCCTTCTGCAAATCGAACGAACGACGGAAATAGATCATTACCGCGAGAAAGAAGATAGAAATGAATAGAATGATGTATTTAATACGATAAGTGATGTGAGAAATGAAGTTTTCATTATTATATTTCTTGCCCTCTTTTCATTTCTCAAAACATTTCACTAATTTTTCAGAAAGCTCGAATAATTTATGTTGTTTACATATTTCAACATTTGTCAGATATAATTTTACATATTGTAACGCATAGAAAAACACGCGACGTCCGAGTCAGAATCGCCGGAGACGAATAGACGACCTGGAAAACGAGATGACACAGGCCGACCGGAAATTGGCAGACGGAAGGGTCACGAACTGTATTGCGGCCTCTTTCCCGTACCGTCCGTATATTCGTTGCCCTTTGCGAGGGCCACCGCGATTGTAAAATAAAGAATCAATCGAGAAACGAAGCGTGCCTCTGGTGTAGTAAGGGCCCTTAAACCTAGCACGGTTGGTTGAGCGGAATCCCCTTTTGCAGGCCTAACAAGACCAACTTTGCGATCCGAACACCCTCGTCCTTCAGCTTGAGTGTTTCCGGCGAACTCACGTGAGCGAAAGCAGCGAGAGAAGGACTGTCACTCTGCAATGGACTTTACTCCCTTTTTACTAAAATCGCGTGTTTATGAGCTCATTAGCCTTCGGTCCGGCCATTTTGTTGTAAACAATATGGAATCCTCTCGTTTATGAAACTTTAATTGGTTTGTTGAAACAACAATATTCTCGACAATTTTGCTTCCACATTCGTGGAAAGAGAAATTAGCAGATAATCACAGTCCGCTCATCTTTCACTTTTATTAGAAAGAGCAAGTTGAAGTTCTTCGATTGAAAATTCGTTAAATATTTGTCAAAGAGAAATCAAGTGGAATTTGATGAAAGAGACGTAGAAATTACATAGACGCACTCTTGACTTGTGTCACCTTAGCTACAAAATGTCGTACCACCTTCAAGTTCTAGACGAACTTTCTTCGGGATAACTTTCCCATGTGACATTATTCCTCACAAATGAAGTTCTGCCGTATTCGTGGAACTTGTTACTATGTATTATATAATACACGAGTCGCGCGAATGTCGCGATCAAAGGACTCGGGGACACGCGCTCGCGCGAGAGGAAACGATTTCGGATCTCGAAAATCGAGAGAGCGTGGAGGCCTCTGGAGAAGATGGAGTAGGGGTCGTCCGAGAGGGTGTGTAAGGTCGTTAGTGAAGTTTCGAGCGGTGCATAGCAATGAGCCCTGAAAAGGGGGCGGAAAACCTCCTGGGAATCCGGACACCCGTTATACGGAAGGCGGAATGAAAACGAAGGGCGTGTGTCGCGCGCGCCACTCTCGCTCCGAAGCTACGTGCGTGCAGAAACAGGGAACGAGAAACTGACTCATGCCGCGCAGGATAATCGAACTCGTTACGATCCGTTCTCCGGATTCGTTTCGTGCGTGGAATCGCGTATCGTTTCTCATAATGCGCCGATTGGCCAGATTGCATCGATATACCTTGTATTTTATATAAATGGTATCACTTTGTGTTCGCAGTAACGCCAAATTGAAAATAAACTGTGGAAAACGTAGTGTTTGATAAAATGAATATTTGTGAAACAAAAGTTAAGTTACGAACAAAAAAAATACAGCAAAAAAGTATTTTATGTGTGAAGTGACAAGGAAAATACATAAAAAACTGTAAGAACAAACTTATAACGTGACGTAAAAAAACAAAAGAAAAAAAGAATAGAGGGAAACGAGGAGTAAAGGGTATGTCACTTACTGTCCAATAATCCTGTCGAGGAGTTAGATCGATAAGAGCGATCGACACGGACCGCGAAACAAATGCCGGGGTCGACTCGCGACACTCCTTATCGATGCAAAACAGCGCGGAGGGTCGTAGCAATTAAGAGATAACAAGGTTTTCCCCCCTCGGCACCCTCTTCCCCAATTAGTAATACTCCTGTTGTACCGTATACCGCTAGATGCACGAACACCACTCTCTTCTTTCGTCTTTCTCTCGCTTTTTCGATCCACCGTGTTTGTACGTGTGCCGCGACAGTCCACTAGGGACTACAGGAGATTGCGAGATGTTCATGTAAAAGAAGCTACACATTATCTAAGATGTGCTCTCGGATGAAACTGCGCGCACAAAATTCTAGACAATTTCAAAAAAATTTCCTTAATTTTCTCATACACATCTCTTCAATTGACATTATAATTCCGTTTGCAATTACGCAAACGCTCGAGCTAACTGAAAGAGAGGTTAAATAGCTTAATAAGGATGGAAGCACGTACAGCTAATTGAGATTGCAAAAAAATGAATAAGCAGTCGATAGTTCGCCAGGGAGAAAATTTTATGCTGAGCGAATTACACGCTCCGGTTGTCTGTTATCTGAAAAAGAGAAGAAAAGAGATAGGGACACAACGGACGACGAGAGAGAAGGTTGGATGCCGGTGGACAGGCAATTATTTCGAATTCAGTACGTTTGAATGGCAGCTACGTCCGATTGAGTATTATTGAATCGGGCAAACGAGGGTGCTTGATAGAAGTCAGCCGAGCGTTGTTCGGACTTGGATGCTGATTAGTATCGCGTACGGACGCGCGATCGCCATAAACACACGTTGCGCAATTATGAACGGATTGATTAGAGTGGCAACTGCAACTGCCATTATCAGCCTGTATTTATCGCAATACCATGCACTCTGAATACGCGCGCGAGTTTACCTGCATGCTATAACATTAACACTAACAAGAATGTACGTTGAAAATGAAAAAATTAAAAATCGAGTTTAAAAGGTTTTTTTTTTCAACTTCTCGCGAGTTTGCTATAATTCTCTAATTCTTAACTTTTTAATTTTCTCACTTTAAAATAGAAACTTTTCTGTTGTTCGTGTTTTATTTATTAACAGAAGAAAAATGAGGAATTAAAATACTGCTATTAAGATACGTATGTTGAGTTTTATTAACTCGCGTAACTTCTTTATAATCTCCCGGGAATACTCCTCCGCTCATGCGTTAACGAACCGCCCTGTTTCGCGCGGAGATCGCTCTTGAGGAGGAAAATAAGTTTTTCCACAGCGGCGACGAAGACTAAGAAAACTGAATGATTGCTAGGGGCACAAAAGTTCGCGCCAATTTCTTTGCAGAAACGACGACGATCAAAGTCAGATTACGCGACGAGGATAAGCGAGATTCTTCTCTTCGCAATATTCCTCTACGGGACTTAAAAAGGACGCCGAGGGCGTTCGTCTTACCGGCGTTTCGTCCTTCTTTCCTCGTTAGCGCGATTCTCTCGCAAACTTAATGATGTTTGCCGGGGAAGGAATGAAGCGAGCTAACTGCCTCGGCATTTCGCAGGTTTAAATTTCTCCGATGCAGCACTTGTTACGTTTGTACAAAATATTTTTTATATATTTCGAAATTCCGCCGCTTTTCTTGCTCCCGTATACAATTACTGCAAATTTCAAGAATTTCAATGGTTTTTAATGAGCAAAATGAATTATATTATAATATAAAAAATTACATATAATCACGCGAGATGCTCAAATTGTGGGGATAAAATAATTTTAACGAAAGACATGAAACACACACCCGCGCGTGCCCCGCGGCGGCGTTCCGACGTAACGCAAACAGCGGCAAACCGAGCAAATTGGCAAACAGTCGGGGATGTGCAACCGTGCGAAGCAATTACGGATTTCGCGTGAACGACGCACAAACTCTTTGTGCGTCGGCGAAGGGCGCGGAGAGGGTTTTTCCGTCCTATTGCAGTGGCGTAACTACTCGGCGCGTGTCTTGAGACAAATACGAGAGAGCGAAATCCACTTATATCGCAAAAGAGAAATGAAAATCGCCAAGTTTATTGAAATTTTTTGTATAAAGCTTCTTGAAGCTTTAGGATAAACGTTGAGTTAAATTATATTCAAATTATATTCAAGTATTTTGTCGTCTTTTAAAGATTATTAGATTTTTATTTGCAAACAAGTTTTTTTTATATATTTTGCTATAAAGTTGAATTTATTCGAAGTTTTATTACAAAATATTTTCAAAGAAAAAAGTAATAATTTTCGAGCTTCTTTTTGTAGTATGTCTGCCTATGTCTGCGCCACTGGATCAAGCTGAACCTGGTTTGAACCAGGAACAGGCGAACAGTAATTGGAGAGCGGCGCGGGTGGGGATTACGCTTGCGTTTCTAATGAGGCGACCGAGAACTTGACCCCATGGAAGAATGTCTCGCAACCCTAGCAAATTTGTCTTTCCGATTTCTATCTAGGAAAATGTCGCTAAATCGCTAAGTTGCTACGCATCGCAAAAAATACACGACCTTGAAGAAAAAATTTAAAAAAATAGCGTGCGCGTTACTCGACACAGCGCAATCTCGTCACGTCACGTCGAAGTCACGCGGATTCGCGTGTTCCTTTTGTCATGTAGCTTCTCGATTTTTATTTACGGCTCTCAAGGGCTGTAGTTATCACGTGACATGAATAAGCAAACCTCACTCCCTCATTACTCGCATTACTCGTTTCTTTTGGCATAGAAAGAAATCGATGTTGGAATAAAATGACGGAAAGAAGAACAAGGTTTTCTAAAACTCTTAAAATAGCTGTTGTATAATAAATCAAGATTTTATCAAAAGAGTCAAGTTAAGAAAACAAGCAAAGAGCATGTACTGTGAAAATTTCTAAAACGAATGTTCCATCGTACTGAAAACAATCACGATATATTTCATTGTCTGCATTGTTTTCCGTAAGAAATTCTCCTCACTTTCTTTGGAGAGCGAAATTACTCGGAAGTGACATTCTCTCGTCAGTATGGTTGCAAACGGGACATCTGATAACAGTCACACGTGCGAGAGCGCGACGTCGTCTTTCGGTCGGAAGCACAAATTTCCGTAGATTTAGTTCCGTTGCGGAGTAATTTGGCAAGCAATTAAGAGAGATAGATAGATAGAGAGAACGAGAGAGGACCGATAAAACCAAGCGAGATAAATAGACAACAGA